GCCTTGTAATATGAGTCCTTAGAGCCTTTGGGTTAGGGTCTAGGGTCTAGGGCATGACTTATGGATCCACGTTTCGGCGGCGAGATCTCTGGCTGATGGTTGACGAGCTCGCTGGACTGACACACACACACACAGACAAACACAGATACTTAGATCGAAACATATTATGTGTATCTCTCTCGGTATATATATATATATCATTCGTTTGTTTGGTTATATACATGAGTCCAAGCATAGGTGTGTACAAATCTGTGCTCACATATATATATATATATGTATATATATATTATTTATTTATTTATTTCTATTTATGTTTATATATATATGTTTATACTTATACTTATATACTCTGTCTCTGGCTTTGTCTCTTCGTCTCCCGTTCTCCGTCTCTGTCTCTTCGCTCGTTGTTTCAATCCAAGGCTCTTCTTCAACTTCTTCTTTGGGGAGCACGACCGCGCCTACAGAAACCGGTCCCAGCAGCGAAGAGCTCTCGCCGCCGCCGTCGTGGCGGGCAACCTTTCAGCTGCGAGGTCGGAGGGTCTACCAGGAAGTACCCTTTAGCCGAACCCTTATGGTCCTTGCAAGCCTTATGGTTTTTAAATCGTCGGTAGTTAGGCCATCGTTTAGGGTGGATAGTACGGCTCGAGCTCAGAGGGAAGAGGAAGTGCAGTTCTTGCCACGAAGTAGTCCTCGCCGTCGGGTCTTGTAGTGGTTGTGGTAGCTAGTGGTGGCTTCCGTTCATCTTCGTTGCCACAGTCCGCGGCATCCTTTCGAGTAAACGCAAGTTCCCTTATGAAATCCATCGCAACTGCCTGCATTGCAAGCTGCTCCAGCCAAACTCCGAAGATCAAGTCCACTCCGATCCTGAATCGTAAAGCCGAAATCTGAAATGCTAAACCCTAACCCCTAAACCCCTAAATCCCTAAACCCCTAAACCTAAACCCCTAAACCCTAAACCCCTAAACCCCAGGTTCAAGGCCTCAAGCCCCGGCGTGCGCCATGCGAGGTCTACACCAGAACCCCTCTACTATAGGGGCCTCAATTTTTACCTATACTAGTTTGGGGGTTCCTTATTATACTCATACCATAAAGGACCCCAAAACCCTATTCTAATTATTCAGGCCCCTACATTAGTTGATTGCGGGTTTTCTCGGTTTGTTAAAGGTTGATGAGGATGTATACTGGGTCTTGTACGCTTTGACGAGGGATTACAACACTTTACTGGGTCTGTTTTCTAAGAAGGGTTTGCAAGACTTGATAGGCCGAGTCATTCAGAAGTCTGCGGAAGCTCTTTAAGGATTTGTTGCGTTTCAGATTTGTTTACCGATCGTGGGGTTTAGGGTTTAGAGGCTTTGGACTTTGGACAGATAGTAGGGCAGGGTTGAGGGTGTTGGGCTTAAGGTTTTATCGGGTTTAGTGGCTTAGCTTAGGGTTTAGGAGTTGTAGGGTTTAGGGTTTACCCATGGGCCCCAATGTGGTTCCTTTTTGGGAGTACAACATGAACCACAAAAAGGAACTACCATGGGGCCTATGGGTAGGGTATCCCCTCCAGGTTGCTGTTGAAGCTTGGAGCAAGCCCGAACGCAGCCCTTGACACTGGCTGGGCACCGTTGCACGAGGCCATTCCTTTAGGGACCAAGCGACACTTACGCAGAATCTCGGGGCACTACACCCGAATACCAAGAATCTCCATGTAGCACTAGAGTCCCTGAACCCTGGACCCTAAACCCTGTTAGCGCTCATTTCCGCCTCAAGGTATGGGCAACCCTAAACCGCACCACAGAAGCCTCAGCCCTGCCTAAACCCCAAAGCCTGAACCCTAAAGCCCCAACCTCTAACCTCTAAACTCCAGCCTTGTTATGAATACGTTGCATGGAGGAATATACCTTAAACTGCTTTAAACATAGTAAGGAATGCACCTCGAATTCAGATTCTATTTTAAACTGTATGAAGAGTACCTCTATAGTCTACGGTAGATTCCCCTAAGGGTCCAGGTACCCAAATAGTATGTACTTTGGCCTTAAAGTGGTCCCTATATAGGTACTTTGGGGCCAAAGTATATACTGTTTGAGTGCATGGACCCCCTGGGATCGTAAATTTGGCGGTTTCGGAGTCTTTTCCTTTCTGGGGTTTCTGTAAATTAGGGTCCCTTCTAGGATCCTTTGTATTATGGTGCCGCACTATTTTGGGCACCTAAAAGGGGACCCTAGTTTAGAAAGCTACCCATGTATAGCCTCTAACTGCAGCGATGAGTCGTTTCTGAGTATCCGCGCACTCCTATTGTTGCCATCGCCGTAAGAGTCCTCCTCGCTACCAGCTGCAGAGCTGCAGATAATTAACACTAGCATAACAGGAGCCTGTATGCTTACTGACACTATGTCTTAGGGTTCCTTCATCATGTGTAGATCATACGATCTCCGAAACTCTGTTCGAATTATTAACCTAATTGTTAAAGCTCCTACATTTCGCTATGAAACATCATCAGCTTCATGAAACTGCGGATCCAGGAAGCCTTCAAACAGTGCCCGGCACAACGACTACGTGCAAACCAACAAACCGCTAGAAACCATGTGAACTATGTTTTTCCTAAGCCCAAAATTCTGCACCGTGTGCCCTGTCAGGATTGGGACTCAAAGTCTATATTATGGGCATGACATGTTAAAGCATACTTGTGCAGGGAGACGTCTTAAACATCAATTAACACAAGCTGAAGAACACTCCCCCCCAAAAAAAACAAAAAGCTGCAAACAATGCACAACAACCTCAAAAGGCTGAATGATGGGATCATGCTTGCTTGAGCTGTACCTACGTTTCCAGACCTGTTCATCCAATATGGGGTACAACGGGTACAAGTTTTAGGGTTCCGGGCTTAGTCAGAGAGCAGAAGAGCCAAAGGTGAATCAATGTCGTGTTCCGGACACTGCGCGCCAATCTTATCTACGTTGTCTTGGGGCTACTGCACCCTAAACCGGAAACCTAAGCCCCTAAGCCCCTAAACCCTAATCTCTCAACCCTCAACCCGCCAATTTCTAAACCCTCGACCCTCAACCCCTTAACCCTAAACTCCCAAAAGCCCTAAACCCCTAACCCTACACCCCAACGCTTGAAGTTTTTCTTTGAACGTCTTTCGACCCGAAACTCGCGTCAGTCGGACGGAGATTTAGGGTTTAGGGTTTAGAGTTTAGGGTTTACCTGGACCCCAAAGAACCTGCCTTTTTAGGCTACTCATTATGATTTCTTTTTAGAAGTCCTAAAAAAGGTAGGTTCTTCAGGGTCTGGGTAGGGTATAGAATTTAGGTTTTCGACTTTCGAGTTTAGGGTTTAGTGTTGGGCTTTCGCAAAAAAGAAGGGAAACGCTACGCAACACCAACCCCAAAAGCTGCCAAACACCCAACCCCCTACAGAAGCTCCACTTATAAGCCCCTCCTACTGCTGCTACTCCTTCTCCTCCTCCTCCTCTACTACTACTACTACTACTACTACCACTACTACTACTACTACTACTACTACTACTACTGCTACTACTTCTACTACTACCACTACCACTACCACTACCACTACCACTACCACCGCTACTACTACTACTCCTCCTCGTCCTGCTCCTGCTGCTGCTCCTGCTGCTGCTGCTGCTGCTGCTGCTGCTCCTGCTACTGCTACTGCTACGACTAC